GAACACTGCCCTTGTCACACCTTTCCTCGTCTTTGACAACGCCCATTGTTGGGTGGTACGGCGATGGAGGTATCGAGACGACAGTCCATCGGGGTTGCACGTAATTGGCTGCTGCTGTTGGTGAATATTGAGGAGCTGCTGGAAGAGGTGTGAAGCGGTCATTGTTCTTGAGCAATTAGCGCGACGGTGATGCCGGTACATGGAGATATCATGTTAGGAAGTGTGTAGGGTGGAGTCGGCCATCAACGTGGCGCGATGCATTCTCGACGGGAGAGTGGCGGAGGCCCTTGCGGAGAACGTGTTGAAGGCCAACGAGTACTCTTTGTTCCAACTTCTGTTTTGTGAGTCCGGCGAGGAGAGTTCAAATTGATGAGCTCCCAATTGCTTGGCGACGGAAGACGGTACGAGGTTAGCAACGGAAACAACTTTGCAGTAGCGGCCAGGGCTGATCGGACCTGGAATGGGACATGGACTTGTCGAAGTGAAAGAGTACCTAGGGAAGGACAGAACAGAAACAAGGAAAGAAAAACATATCTTTGAACGTCTCCAAAGACACTGGTCCAAATCTCAAGTCTCAGGCCGCAGCCGAAAGCATTTTAGTGACGTGAAGGGAGCTTGGAGCAAGAAGCTTGAGGCCACAGCTGAGGATCGCCCCGAGCCGGACCTGGGTCTTGACGGTGGCTCTATTTGCTCAACCAAGGACTCCATGGTTCAGAGACATCATTTACCGACCAAAGTTACTTTATTCTGTGAAGCAAATGCGAAGAATAGGGTAAAAAAAACTGGAGTGTCCTGTCAGTCTTATAGGAGGTGCGACCAGGCAACATTGGGGCGATGAGAGGGAGAACGGAAATCGTTGGATTCCTTTTCGTCGCCTAGCGAACTGCATGACGTGAATTACCTCCCTGACATGGAAGCAAGTGCGCAGGCAAGTACATTTGGCAGCAATCCGGGTGGACTTGCTGGAACATTTCATGAGCGGAAGGTAGGTACGCACGCGGACCATCCCACAAGCAGCTGCCGCGAGATTGCATCAGGTCATGGTGCCTACTTGCATCTTAGCTGCAGACTGGACTGTTTGAGTAGACAGGAGTCAAGGACCCAACCGGCAAGTGATGTTGGTAATGGAAACAAAACATACATAACAAAGGAGGAAGTCACCATTGTTGTCACCTTCCTTTGTTGACATCCCCTGATCTTCTTGTTTGTGAAGCCGCCGGGATCCCCTTTTGCGGAGGCTTGCCGTGAAACAGGATATTGAGCGGACACCCGCTATATTACAGCGCACCATACGTCCTACAGTGAGCCCCAAGACTCCATCGCCCGAGGGGACTTACGCTGGCCAACAGAGAAGGGAACTGTGACGAACCGTTACAAGCACAGGAGTATTATCGCTGGGATAGAACAATAGAGTAACGGAGTAGTAGCCGAAAGGTACTGGTAGATTGTGATAGCTATTGCTTGCTGAAGAACCCGGATATTAGAAGGCCTGGAGAGGCCTTCTTTATATACTGGTCCTTCAATGAGCGCCGTTGAGCCGGGTGAAGCTATCCCCGGCCACTCGGCCACCTGCGCCGTAGGTTACGGCGCCCGGCGCCCGGCGCGGCTCTGATTGGTCTAATCTATCTGCTTACATAAGTGATTCCTTATTGGATCGTAACAGGAACCCAAACTGCCCACTGGTACATCTACGACTCAATTGAATGTCCATGCTGTTTCATCCAGGATAATTTCCCATGTCCTTCTTGAAAAGAATGGTGTAAAAGTTCCCGCCTTCCAGTTGACTGACCACACATTGCTACCGGTAAGTGCGATGCTGTCTCTTATGTCACTGTCGTGGAGACGAACCGGGAAAGAAAGGTGGGGCCAAGGGTTAGGAGAGACGGGCGGAGTCAAGCCGTGCTCAGTGATGGCAGGTTTCTTCTGGGCGGCATCGGCGGCGTTGACGACGGCCGGGGCAGCTGTCGAGAGGTTTTCTTCGAGAGCCAAAGGGTCATTCGCTGGGCGTGATCACCGGAGATAGAGGTAGCTTGCTCTAGAGCCTGGTCCCACTCGAGAGTAGAAGAGGTGGCAACATGAGATTCGAGAAAAATAAAAGCTTCGGAGGGAGACAAAGTAGGAGACTCATGATCCAAGTGGGTGCCATAATTGAAATCGTCAGGGATGTTGTCTTCCTCAATGGGTGTATCGTGGCCGAAATCAAGCCAGCAGTCATCCGCATGGATCTTGTCGTGGATGGAAGATGGGAGACTCGGGTCGGGAATGGAGCTCGACGGCACAGTTTTGTTGTTCTTCAAGTGGCGGGATGACGCGTCGATGCTACTAAAGGTAGCCTTAATGTAGTCGATGCAAATCGGCGTCAGACGATCCTCACTGTCTCGGAGTACAGGAAGGCAGAGCTGCTCACAGTACTTGGCCGACCCGAGCCTGACCCGCAGAGAAAGGGATTGGTGGAACGGGTCATCGGATGATCTCCCGATCTCATGGGTGGAAGATGACATATCGACAACTGTTCCGGACTTCTTGGGGTGTCGGGAATGTTGACGACTCCCTGTGTGCAAGGCAGTAGCGATGCTCTGAAAGATGTTGTTTTTTCTTGGTGATTTAGGAATATGAAAGGCGACGGGCTATGCTGGGGTTTATGTTACCCTCACAAAGCAATATTCGCGATCCAGTGTTAGCAAAAGGACACGACGTGAACGATCCAGGCAACCTAACTGCCGGAGGATCAATGACTGAAAAGCGACCTGGAACTTCCTACAGAATATTCTTGGGTAATAACAGATATGCAACAAAAGCAGAGTTCCTACCTTGTGGGACCTAGCAAGTTCCTGGTCTGGGCATCTGCGGCTTATGGTTTACTTGGGAAATCAAAGGTTCCCATCGACGGCTCTGCCAGGTCGGTCTATCCACACAACGATGGAGAGGATGATTCTCGGTCCTCTTGGTCTCTACATTTCGTTCAACCGCAGGCTTTCTTTCCGTAACCATAAGCCCTAGGTAACCATGAACCCAATACGGACAGTCCAACACACTGCCCTTGTCCCAGGAAAGGCCGCCGCGAGAAGGTCATAAGAATGAGAAATACAGGGTAAAGAGTCTGCGTCTTGAGACTTTCTACAGGTTAGGTTAAAGGGATTTACCGACACGGTTAGTTGTCCAATTTACCTGTATTCACCGTAACGTGCTCGCTTTCTTCTTGCGACCGTTCGGGACCAAGCCACTCCAGAAGCACGGGACACTGGGGATCAAGAACAAGAAGAAAGGTGTACTATGGAAACGGAACCCGGGCAGGTGAAAAGGACATGGCGAAGAATTTGGATTTGGTTAAGAAAGAGCGCTCCGATGAGTGGGGTTTATTTCAATGGGAAGGTACCTGCATGCCAAATACACAAGTCCCTCTAATGGAGGCAAGGGCATCTGTCACCCGCTCGGAGACCAAGCAAGATAGATACAAGGAGCCCAATCTTATACTTTCTCTTCCTCTCCTCTTCTTCTTCTTCACCTCTTCATTGTCGCACATAACCGTATCCTTTTCGGACGTTTCTTTTTAGCTTTTTTGAACAGAAGTATCACGTTTGCAATCACGACTACAGTATCAGCAGCATATCAAGATCCACAACACCACGAATACACGGTAAACAGACAAAACATTGCGTGATCAGGGACCTGACGAGAGTCCAGACAACAATCCTGGAGGAGTAAACAAGGTAAGAGGGTCCTACATTTGTTGTAGATGCATTCGGATGGACTCAGGCTAATACATGCTGCTCTCTTTTCACACAGCAAACGACTGGAGGCCCTGACGCCAGAGATCAACACCCTTGTAGGGCTCCAAGTCCTGAGTTGCCTGAAGCATTCAGAGTCCCGATAGTCGAGCCAAGCTTTACCAGCATGGTGGCGCATCACCAACCAGTCTCCAACCCCAACGGATCTGCCACCCCCTTCCACAATAACATCAACGTTCCCGCCATTTCCTCTCCTCCTCAACAATCTGGCGACCTCCACGCGTACGTTGACCCGGCCTTGCCTAGTATTGACAATTACCATCAAATCGTCTCTCTTAATAATCGATCTCTCGCTGGAAGCAGCACCAGCAACCCCAACTCCACTCCCGCTATCTTGCGGTCCGCTTCCCGAAAACCGGTGGGGTCCCCCATCATTCCCACGGAACCTTGCGGTATGCCTCTACCGAATCAAGCAGGCGTTTGCAAATCCCTTGTCTGGCAACCACACAGCAAATGGTGTTTTGATCATATCAAGGATCCACATTTCCCACGCCGGAAGAAAGAGCAAATCATCAACAAGGTCAGAGAACGTCACGCGTTAGGATCTGGACCTGCACCCGTTGTTATCAGGAGGAGGTTGACATAAGCAACACGAATTGTTTAAAATGCCGCACGTTGGAGAGAGAGGGGTATCGTAAGAGAAGAGCCAAGTCCAGGAAAGATGGTGGTGAGGGCAGCCAGGACCGTCCGGATGGGAATATCTATGGTCCCATCATTTCCAAAAAGATTTGCTTGGGACCGGGAGGCAAGGGCGGCTGCAACGCCCTCGTCTGGCAACCGGGCGTGAAACGTTTTTCAACATTACCAGTGCAACCCCATAGGCAAGAACACAATTCTTGTTGTTAAGTAGCGCCATTCTCGGGGAATTTGGTGCTGCACTTCTTGTATCACAGGGGACTCTGATCGCGGGCGCAAGCGCTGCTCAAAATGCCATTGCAAGCATAAGGAATGGAATGGGTCGTATAAGACAAAAAAAGACTCGGCTGGCAATGGTAGTGGTGATGGAACGCAAAACTCCGAAAATTCCGAATACGATGAGGACGGTGAGAACGATGAGATTGATGAGATCGATGAGATCAACGGGGAGGATGAGAACGACGAGGATAATAAGAACAACAGGAATGGGAGGAATGAGGAGAACGGGGAGGATGCTGCAAAGTATCCTCAGCAGGGATCAGACCCCGAGATGCCTATGTCTTTCGACTTCGAGTGATACATCTGGTATCCGTGGGGTATAATTTTTGTTGTTGTTATTTTTAACG